GGGGGGGGGGGGGGGTGCGCACCCCCTACACCCTCCCCCTAGATCTGCCCCCGTTTTACACACACACACTCAAACGCTTCAACCAACAACTGATGAAAATACCCTCACCTGGCGCTAAAAGAACTGAATAAAACGCTGTAAAACGCGCCTGTAGCTAGACACATCTCTCATAGCTTGCACAACGATCGCAAGTTTCACAACTAGGACATCTCCCACATGGGTCAGTCCATCTAGATAAACTTACGATGGGCATAGGCCGTAAGGGTAGTAAACCCTTAATCCAGTGAAACACTACACCGCAAAATGCTATTAATTTTAATCAGGTCTATGTTATTCATGGCTTTTTTGAAGGGAAAAAGTTTGCTAATCTAAGGTGCTAAACAGTAATCTAAAAGCCCTTTTAAGACTTTCCAATCCCATTTAGTCCGCGTGGAGGTGGATAGGGGCAATATCCATCCTTGTTCTACAAATAACTTCCGTTTTGGCCTACCTCCCACGATCATTACTACAACCGTGTCATCAACGATACTACGATGACGACGAAAGCTACAAGGACCTTATTGACCGCAACGATCAGTAACACTACTAACACAACCACATCACCGCCATTATATATCCTTCCACCACGGGACATTCATGGAGATTTCTTCCCAGACACCACGATTCGCTGTCGGTGTACTCAGGACCTTCGCATCAAGTAATCCCTAGCAGTCACTTCAGAGTATAGTTAGCTTACGTGAATGCACTTTTTCACGCTGTGTGCTTGAGGAAGAGAGATGAGATTATTCCTTTATCTGCCGGCTACCAAAAACCAGCAACCTGGAGACGTTATTCCCCCATAGATCCTCTCATGCGTTGCATGCATATGGTCTTCTGGCTCCAGCTGAAGTTAGTGTGCTCTTTGCAACCCGTCAACCCCATTTTTTAAACTTGTTTAGAGCGACATAACCACAACGGCCACAAGCAAGTCAAGCACAACTACTACAGAACAATCACGACCGCTATCACTACAACAACAACTACGAGAGCCACCAATTAAGCGAAGATGTTAAAAACACCATGAAATTTTTGTCGGGGATTTCACCTTGACCAAGGACGTTTTAGGCACAGTAGACTAAGACTAAGCAGGGCGCTCCTAAGAGAAACGCTGAGCTACTCATCCAAAAATGCATGCCCACGGTGTATATAAAACAAAGACAAGACGCTGTGGGAGCGTATATTTGGGCGTCGCTGTACTAGGCGTATGTGATGTCTTTTTATGTGTAAAGTTAGTTGTACAGTCGAAGCTCTCCTTGCGACAGCTCTCGTAGGCGACCAGCTCTAGTTACGACCACATGTGTGGTAACCCGTTTGAACTACTTTAACTTTGTAAAGAAAAGCTCTTGAAGCGACCGCTCCGGTAAGTGACCGCGACCACTTTTGGGATTACCCAAATGGAATTTGCTTTTGTTTTTAAGCTCTCGTAAGCCACCACTCAGCGACCACTCACGATCAGTCTTTCTCATATAAATCAACACTTTAATGAAACTGTACACTGCTCTAGTAGTCTAAAAATTTGGACGTTAAGTTTAGCAGTGTCTGTATCACATGTAAAGACACTCATTAAACATTTATTAGTATGGAAAAGGGGGTATCAAGATGTTTGAAGGAAGACTGAAATTTTGGGTGTGTGGGTTCGGGGGGGCTTTGAAAAATCGGTAAGGTCAAGGAGGAGGGCGTAAAATTGGGCTATAAAACTAGGAGGCCAGATTACATGAGTCGGGCCGGCTTGCTTTGCAGAGATCGTTGCCTGTCTTAGTTATAACACGGGACGAAAAAACGGATTTACCGAACGTCAAAGGTGAAGTCAAACGCGCGATAAAGGCCACCTTTGCACACCTTTGTACAACTTTGACGCGCGACAAATGTTTACCTTTACCCGCGGTCAAAGGCGCGTCTTCATCCGATAAAGGCCGTTTTTTGTCACGCCTTTAACCCCTACCTTTGACGCGCGTCAAAGGTATATTTCATTAGCATTTGTACCCCTATCAAAGGCGTCGTCAAATATGTCTGAGATTCAGGCCAAAGGTGTGACAAAAGCGCGGCAAAGTTATGTCTGTGACTAAAGTCAAAGGCTTGTGAAAAATGTCGTCAAAAGTGTCTGAGCCTCAGGTCAAATGTGTGACAAAGTTGTCGTCAAATGCGTGTGAGATTTAAGTCAAAGGTTTAACAAAGGTGTTGCCAAATATGTTTGTTTTTTTTCCTCCCCTCGCATCGCGCTTCTCGCTCGTCTCGCGCTTCGCGTGAATTCCTCGTTCTCCTCGCGTTTCGCGCGAATGCCGCGTTATTGCCTCGCTAGTCATAAGCGCTTGATATACAGGCTAGAATCCAACTTGAGATTTTCAGTCAAATTCAATTGCGAACTGGATACCGTTTAAAAAGGTGGACAGATAAGAGATTGAGTTCT